AAAGCACTCCTCGGCAAATGTAACGAAGAACAGAATTATAACAAACTGTCTCTCAGACCACAATGCAATCAAACTAAGACTCAGGATTAGAAGCTCACTAAAAACCGTCAACTACATGGAAAATGAACAAACCTGCTCCTGAATGATGACTGGGGTACACTAAACGAAATGAAGGCATAAATAAAGATGTTCTTTGAACCAATAAGAACAAATACACAACATACCGAATCTCGGGACACATTTAAAGCAGTGTGTAGAGCAAATTTATAACACTAAATGCACACAAGAGAAGCAGGAAAGATCTAAAATTGACATGCTAACATCACAATTAAAAGACTAGAGAAGCAAGAGCAAACACATTCAAAAAGCTAGCCAGAAGGCAAGAAAATGACAAAGATCAGGAGCGAAACTGAAGGAGACAGAGACACAAAAAACCCTTCAAAAAATCAGTGAGTCCAGGAGCTGGTTTTTGAAAAAGTTCAACAAAAATTGATAGACCGCTAGCAAGACTAATAAAGAAGAAAAGAGAGAAGAATCAAATAGATGCAATAAAAATGATAAAGGGGATATCACCACCGATCACACAGAAATACAAACTACCATCAGATAATACTATAAACACCTCCTACACAATAAAACTTCGAAAACCTAGGAGCAAATGGATAACTTCCTGACACACAAATTCTCCCAAGACTAAACCAGGAAGCAAGTGAATCACTGAATAGACCAATAGCCAAGGCTCTGAAATTGGAGGCCAATAATTTAAATAGCCTACCAACAAAAAAAGTCCTGAGGGACCAGATGGATTCACAGCCGATTCTACAGAGGTTACAAGGGAGGGAGCGCTACCATTCCTTCTGAACTATTTCCAAGTCAATAGAAAAAGAGGGATCCTCCCTAACTCATTTTTATGAGGCACAACATCAATCCATGATACCAAGCCTTGGCAGGAGAACACACACAAAAAGAGCATTTTAGACCAATTCCCTGATGAACATCGATGGCCCCAAAAATCCTCATAAATACTTGGCAAACCGGGATCCAGCAGGCACATAAAAAGGCTTATCCACCATGTGTTCAAGTGGCGCCTTCATCCCTGGGATGCAGGCTGGGTTCAACTATGCCAAATCAATAAACGTAATCAGCAATAACAGAACCAAAGACAATAACCACATGATTATCTCTCAATAGATGCAGAAAAGGCCTTTGAGCAAAATTCAACAGCCCTTCTATGGCTAAAAACGCCTCAATAAATTTGGTATGATGTAATGTATCTCAAAATAATAAGACTATTTATGGACAAATCCCGACAGGCCGAATATCATCCTGAATGCCCAAAAACTGGGAAAAATTCCTTTGAAATCTGGCACAGGAAGGGATGCCCCTCTCACCACTCCTTTCAACATAGTGTTGGAAGTTGCTGCGCTTAGGGCAATCAGGCAAGGGAGAAAAATCAAGGGTTATTCAGTTAGGGAAAGAAAGAAGTCAATTGTCCCTGTTTGCAGGGGGATGGACATGTTTGTATATTTAGAAACCCCATTGTCTCAGGCCGCCAAAATCTCCTTAAGCTGATAAGGCAACTTCAGCCAAAGTCTCAGGATACAAATTAATGTTGCAAAAATCACAAGGCGATTCTTATACACAGATAACAGACAGACAGAGACCAAATCATGAGTGAACTCCCATTCACAATTGCTTCAAAAAGAGAATAAATACCTAGGAACTCCAACTTCAAGGGGATAGTGAACGACCTCTTCAAGCGAGACTACAAACCACTGCTCAGTGAAATAAAAGAGACAAACCAAATGGGAGAACATCCTGTAGTTGGAAGATCAATATTCGTGCAATGGCATTACTGAAGGTATTTATAGATCTTTTGTCAATAATTTTAATTTGTTACTTGTTTTCACTGTACTGGAAAAAACCACTTTGTTTGTTGTACTTTGTGTGTGTTGTAAGACCCTGCTATGTATTCAAAGGTATGGAGGCATCACGTCTTGGTCTTCCATTACTTACTACAAGCTACAGTAATGCTATGGTATCGTACAAAACAGAGATATAGGACCGCAATGGACGGGAAACAGAACCTCCAGAAATAAGTAACACACGGTCTACTAACCATGGTGACATTTTGACAAATATGACCAAAACAAGTTGGGGAATGTCCTTATTTATATTTGCCTGGGGAGAAACTGGCTAGCCATGATGCAGACTGAAACTTGATCCTCTACTTACACCTTATATAAAGTTAATTCACTGGATTAAGACACAAATGTTAGACTAAGAGTTAAAACAACCCTAGAAGAACCTAGGAGTACCTGTCAGACATAGGCATGGGCAAGACTTCATGACTTAAAACACCAAAAGCGAATGGCAACCAAAAGTCCAAAATTGACAATGGGATCTAATTAAACTAAAGAGCTTCTGCACAGCAAAAGAAACTAGCCATCCGCAGTGAACAGGCAACCTACAGAATGGGAAAAATATTTTTGCAATCTGCTTATCGTGACCAAGGGCTAATTATCCAGGAATCTACAAAGAACTCAACAAAGTTACAAGAAAAAAACACCCCTCAAAAAGTGAGTGAATGGATATGAGCAGACACTCTCTAAAGAAGGACATTTGTGCAGAGCGCACACACACACTGAAAAAGTAGCTCATCATCATGCCACAGAGACAACGCGAAATCAAAACCATAATGAGATCCATCGTCACACAGTTAGAATGGCGAATCATTTAAAAGTCCAAGAACAACAGGTGCTGGAGAGGATGTGAAGAAGTAGGAACAGCTCTTTACACTGTTGGTGGGACTGGTAAACTTCATTCTAGCGGATTGTGGAAAGACAGGTGTGGCGATTCCTCCAGGATCTAGAACTAGAAATACATTTGACCCATCCATCCATTACGGGTATATACCCAAAGGATTATAAATCACGCTGCTATAAAGACACATGCACACATATTGTTTATTGCGGCACGTTATTCCCAATAACTAAGACTTGAAATCCAAAACCCAAATGGTCCATCAATGAGCTAGACTGGATTAGATAAATAATGGCACATATACTCCATGGAAATACTATGCAGCATAAAAAAGGATGAGTTCATGTCCTTGTAGGGACATGGATGCAGCTGGAAACTATCATTCTCAGCCCACTATCATTCTCAGCAAACTATCGCAAGGACAAAAAACCAAACACCGCATGGTTCGTCACTCATAGATGGGCATTTGATCATGAAGAACACTTTGCGACACAGGAAGGGGAACAGACACACCAGGCCTGTTGTGGGGTGGGCGGGAGCTCAATCTCCTGACCTCGTGATCCGCCCGTCTCGGCCTCCCAAAGTGCTGGGATTACAGGCTTGAGCCACCGCGCCCGGCCGAAATTTAACTTTTTTATATACACCTACATAATATATTACATATAAATAAATATAACAAAATACACGAATAAGAAATGCTATAATATTTAGTTTTTGCTTGAAAATTACCTGGGTAAGAAGAAGAAAAAATGAGTGAAGATGAGTTGATAATTGCTGAAGCTCAGAGCTACCCAAGTGAGGTTCAGGTATAATCTTTATCTACTTTTGTTTATGCCTAAGATATTCCATTATTAAAACTTTTTTAACCATGGAAAGAAAGGAAGATGGGGAGAAGAGGAATCTCTACCTCTAAACTTTTCATTGGATCTAAATCTTGCCATTAGAATCCCATTGCAAAGAAGCAGTCTTAATATTTACTTAAAAATATTCTTGGAGACCATTGCCTTATCAAGGGTAATGACAGACACAATTTTCAAATTCCGAGTTGAAAGAGAAGTTATAAAGAATCAAAGAGAAAGAAGATCTGTCAAGAAAACAATATAAACCCAGAAATTAATGTAAAGTATAATTTACTTACGTTTTTCTGACTGATAAATTAGGTTGTAGTATATCATATGAAGAGTTATCAAAGCCATAAGTGTAGACATAAAAGGAAGAAGTAAAACAAGGGCCCAGGCCTGTGAGTGCTGGATGTAAGATATTCCCAGAAACACAATGGTTGCATTTAGGTTCATGAGCCAATAAAACCTGGGGCAGACAGACAAAAATAAAAATACCATTGAATCGGTTTAGACAACTATTGCCAATTTTAATGCTTCTATTCAAATGTAAACTACGAAACGATGACATGTTAACTGAACCCAATTTTGCAAATATTGTTTATCAGATTTCTTAACAAGTGTGTAAACATCAGCCCTGACTTAACCAGTTTCATTATCTTTGTTTTATCCTTGTTTAGAATCGACATAGAAAGAAGGTGCTCTCTTTCGTGTAAATCAGAGGTTGGCAAAGTTTTTCTATAAAGGGCTGGATAGACAGTAAATATTTTAGGCTTTGCAGGCCATACGGTCTCTGTAGCATTGTGGTACTAAATAAGCTGTAGACAACACTTAATCATTCAAATACCCCTAATGAAACTGGAAAGATTAAAAAGTTAATTCTTCCTGTATATTCCAGTTTTCAAAGTATAGGAAAACAGAATACTCAGGAATATCTGGGTTATACTTAGAATAGGCATGTAACTGAAGAAATGAGTGACATTTCAATAAAACTTTCCATTTTTCTTCCCAATGATTAGTATCACAGAGAGGTACCTACCCTAGTAGTCTGGTTTGCAAGTTCTGGGAACATCATCTCTACCTCTCAACCGTTCACTGGGTCTAAATCTTGCCATTAGAATCCCATTGCAAAGAAGGGATCTTAACTTTTACTTTAAAGATTGAGGTAAAATTAAATACAATAAAATTTACTCATTTACATATATAACTTATATACATATTAGTTTTTTTAAGTGTTTCAGTGTGCAAGCACCATCAGATAAGTCTTAGTACACTTACACTATCATTAAAATTTAAAGGGTTTATGTGATTAGATGAGACCCACCCAGTATAATCTGGGCTCTGATAACTGAAATCAGCTGATGAGAAACCTCAATTATCTCTGCAAAATTCTTTCACCTTTGCCATATAACATAATTAGGGGAGTGATATTCCAAAATCTTTCCGATATTCTACTGTTTAGAATCAGGTTACAGGTTCTGCCCACACTCAGGGGGATGAGTCCAAACAAGAATGTGGTCCACTGGGGGTCATCCTGGGGCATGTCCACCACATCTTCTTTGTGTTTTCCCTTCCCACGATCGATCTCTCTCTCTCTCTCTCTCTCTCTCTCTCTCCCGCCTCCCTCTCCCCCTTCCTCCCTCCCTCCCCCCCCTCACTTCTTTTTTTTCCCACAAGGTCTTAGTCTGTCACCCAGGCTGGAATGCAGTGATGCAGTCATGACTCACTGCAGCTTTGACCTCCCAGGCTGAAGCAGTCCTACTGCCTCAACTTCTGTCTAGTACCTGGGAGCACAAGCACGCACTACCATACCTGCTAATTTATTTTTAGTAGAGATGAGGTCTCACCGTGTTGCCCAGGCTGCAAATCTAAATGATTCCTCACCTCGCCCCGCCCTCCCCGCCCCGCCCCGTCTCGCCTCTCATTTCCTTTTTCCTTTCCTTCATTCTTTCCCTTCCTCCTTCCCTCCCTCCCTTCCTTCCTTTCCTTCCTTCCTTTCTTCCTTTCTCCCTTCCTTCTTTCTTTCCTCCCTTCCTTTCTTTCCTCCCTCCCTCCGTCCTTGCCTTCCTCCCTCCCTTCCCGCCTTCCTCCCTCCTTCTTTCCCTTATTTCCCTCTATTTCTTCTACGTAAAAGAAGTAAAGACAACAGGTAAAACTGGCTATGGAAAGGGAATATTGAAGGTTTGAGAAGAAAGAAAATGTTTACAAATAGTACTTTAAAGGAGGAGAGAAATTGACTGGACATCATATACTTGCTAGGCAGTGATAAGGAACAAGTTTGGTGGTCATGAACTTAATGTGGATATAGTATAATTTTGCATTTTTCTCCAGACTTCTTGTTGTGTGAGTACAATAATGGAATATGTGGAGAGTTGAATTTTAACTAAGATTATTTCCTCCATCACACAGGAGACTATGACAAAGTAAGCTTGGGGGAGGGGGAGGGAAGAATAATTGAAGACATGAAATATTACTGCTAATTAATTGGAGACTAGCCTTGCTGCATACTTTCTGGTTGGGAGTGGAGGCTCAGCTCTCTGCTGTACCCAGCTGACACTGCCCAGGAGGGTAAATTAGAGCACTTCCAGTTTCTGCTGGGCAGGAGATGAAAGACAGGCTCCTCACTTGGCCTCAGCAACACCACCCAACTTGGGAATCAGTGTTCCGGTCTGATTCTCCGAGTGTTTATGTAAAATATTAGATTCTCGCTCATGTCTGCTGACACTATTGGACCAGCAGTATGCAGGGGAGGCAGTGTTTTTAATAGTGTTTGGCTAGAGAAGGACAGATGTTGTCAAAAATATTTTCACCTATATTAGTCTACCTTTTTCCTAGAACTTTGAGTAAGGGGAGCAGGACTTTTTTGGAGCTGCCCATTCCTTGCCACACCTTTGCTCTCACCCATCTGTACCTGGTTCCAGGTTCTAGGTTTCTCTATAGCCCCACTGATAACAAAAAGAAAACCCAGGAAACTCATCGTAGTCCTTCCTCAAGTTCCAAGGCCCCTAGGAAGAGATTGTCTTCTTTCTACCTTTTGAAATCTCCCTATGTCCATTTGTTGTGTTAGGTTTTGGTTTTTTTGATGTAAGAGGAAGTACCTGGGAGAAATAGGGCTCTTCTTGTATTGGCTAATATTGGAGATCCTCTATTTTTTTTTTTTAATTGGATAGTTTCTTTTCCTATCATTGATTTGTCAAAGGTCTTCATATATTTTGGATGCATGTCATCTGTCAGATACATGTTCTACAAATGCTTTCTTATAATATGGGGTTTTCCTTTTCCTTTTCTCAATGATGTCTTTTGATAAGCAAAAGTTTAAAAGTTTAGTAAATTTCATTCTATCGTTTTTTATCTTTATTGGTTCATACTTTTTGTATCCTATGTAAAGAATAGTTTCTAAGCCTTAGTCACAAGTATTTTCCCCTGTGTTTTTTCAAAAAAATCACTGTTATGGGTTTTGATCTCATATAAAGTTAATCTAATTTGAATTAATTTTTCAGTAGGGTGTCATGGGGTAATTATTTCCTATGTGGATATTCAGTTTTTACAGTATAATTTATTGAGAACATGATCTTTTCCTCAATGATTTTTTGACACTTTTGTTGAAAATCAATTGACCGTACAAATGTAGGTGTATTTTCTGACTCTCAGTTCTGTTCCACTGATCTGTCCTTATGTCAATACCAGTGTCTTGGTTACTGTTACTTTCTTTTCTCCTGCCTTTTTTATAAAGAGCTTTATTGAGATATAATTGAGATGCAATAAACTGCATATATTTGAAATGTGCAATTTTATAAGGTTTGAATATATATGCACACACAAAATAATTACCACATTCAAGATAACAAACATATCCATTGCCTCTAAAGCTCCGTCATGCCCCTTGTCACCCTTCCGAACCCTGCCCCTTCTCATTTCCCCTTCCTCGTCTCTAGGCAACCACCGATCTTTTTTCTGCCACTATAAATTAGTTTGCAATTCATAGATTCTTTTTTAAATATTAAATCATCTGTATTTTCAAATCTGGTTTCTTTCACTTGGCATAATTATTTTGAGATTCATCCATGTTAATGTATTTATCTGTATCCATTCCTCTTTATTGCCAAGTACTATTCCATTATGTAAATGTACCAGTGTTTGTTTATGCATTTACTGTTAATAGACATTTTTCAGCTTATTGCTATTGCAAACAATGCTGTTAAGAACATTCATGTACAAGCCTTTGAACAGACATAGACATTAATTTCTCTTGGGTAAAACCTAGGAGTGTAATGGCTGGGTGATATATGATAGATGTATATTTAATATTTTAAGAAAATTTCAAATAGTTTTTAAGTAGTTGTAACATTTTACATTATCACCACATGTGTATGAGAGTTCTCATCTCTTCATATCCCTGCCAAAACTTGGTATAGTACATGTGTACTGATATATGATGGTGGTTTTATTTTGCATTTCCCTAATGGCTAATGATATTGAGCATCTTTTCATGCGCTTATTGATCATCTGCATATCTTCTTTGGTGAAGTTTCTGTCCTTATGTATTCTGGCTACAAGTCCTTTCTCAATTATGTGATTTGTAAGTATTTTCTCCCAGCCTGTGGCTTGTCTTTTTATTCTATAAAAAGTGTCTTTTGAAAAGCAGAAATTCTTAATTGTGATGAAGTCCTATTCTAATTTTTTTCCATGGATCGTCCTTTTAGAATTGTTTCTCAGAAACCATTGCCTAAACTGAGGTCAGAAACTTTTCTCCCTCTCTTTCAGAGAAGAAATCTGAACTTGGAAAACTGAAATGACTCGTCCACATTCACACAGCTGTGTTGCTTGTAGAGCCATGAGCAGAAGTCGTCATCCTGGTACAGGGCGAATCGGGCTAAATATCCTGTTAATACTTCTTTCTGCATCTTTGTGGTTATCAATTTCATGACACTTTCATTTTCTTGTTAATCTAGCCTTTAACAATTGAAATTACCTTTCATGCCTCTCATCACATTTTATATATCAATCATTAACTATAAATGTTGTCCTTCCTCTTCAGAATGGTAGTCCAAAGACATGAGTTAGAGTCACAAAATCTGAAAATCACATGGTCTGTGATCTTCTACTTTCTGGAATTTTAAAAATTGGAATCACACCCTCTAAATAAGGTTTTTTGGTAAGAATTTTAATGAAGAACATTAAATGAAGAACATGGATTATAACTACATGGTGCTAAGCAAATGTCATCATATCAAATGTTCGTTTTTCTCCAATCCTGATTTCAGGAACAAAAAAAGCAGTGAAGTTGGAGCATAGTGAATGATATGGTTTGGCTCTGTGTCCCCATCCAAATCTCAGCTTGTAGCTCCCATAATTCCCACATGTTGTGGGAGGGACCCAACTGGAGATGATTGAATCATGGGGGCGGGTCTTTCCTGTGATGCTCTCATGATAGCAAATGGGTCTAACAAGATATGATGGTTTTAAAAATGGGAGTTTCTCTGCACAGCTCCCTCTTTGCCTGCTGTCATCTATGTAAGATGTGATTTGCTCCTCCTTGCCTTCCCCCATGATTGTGAGGCCTCTCCAGCCATGTGTAACTGTAAGTCCAGTTAAACCTCTTTCTTTTGTAAGTTGCTGAGTCTCAGGTATGTCTTTATCAGCAGTGTGAAAGCAGACTAATACAGTAAATTGGTACCAGTAGAGTGGGGCACTGCTGAAAAGATACCTGCAAATGTGGAAGTGACTTTGGAACTCGGTAACAGGCAGAGGTTGGAACAGTTTGGAGGGCTCAGAAGACAAGAAAATGTAGGAAAGTCTGGAACGCCCTGGAGACTTGTTGAATGGCTTTGACCAAAATGCTGACAATGACATGGACACTGAAATCCAGGTTGAGGTGGTCTCAGATGGAGATGAGAAACTTTGGAACTGGAGCAAAGGTGACTCTTGTTATGTTTTAACAGAGACTGGCAGCATTTTGCCCCTGCCCTAGAGATTTGTGGAACTTTGAACCTGAGAGAGAAGATTTAGGGCATCTGGCAGAAAAAACTTATAAGCAGCAAAGCTTTCAAGCGGTGACTTGGGTGCTGTTAAAGGCATTCAGTTTTTTAAGGGAAGCAGAGCATAAAAGTTTGGAAAATTTGCAGCTTGACAATGCAATAGAAAAGAAAATCCCATTTTCTGAGGAGAAATTCAAGCCTGCTGCAGAAATTTGCATAAGTAACGAGGAACCAAATGTTAATCCCCAAGACAATGGGGAAAATGTCTCCAGGGCATGTCAGAGGTCTTCATGGCAGCCTCTCCCATCACAGGCCCAGAGTCCTTAGAGGCAAAAATGGTTTTGTGGGCCAGGTCCAGGTTCCTGTGCTGTGTGTAGTTTAGGGACTTGGTGCCCTGTGTCCCAGACGCTCCAGCCATAACTAAAAGGGGCCAAGATACAGCTCGGGCTGCTGTTTCAGAGGTTGGAAACCCCAAGCCTTGGCAGCTTCCATGTGGTGTTGAGCCTGTGGATGCACAGAGGTCAAGAACTGAGGTTTGGGAACCTCTACCTAGATTTCAGAAGATGTATGGAAACACCTGGATGCAGAAGTTTGCTGCAGGGGCAGGGCCGTTGTGGACAACCTCTGCTGGGGCAGTGTGGAACAGAAATGTGGGGTCAGAGCCCCCACACAGAGCTCCTACTGGGGCAATGCCTAGTGGAGCTGTGAGAAGAGAACCACCGTCCTCCAGATCCCAGAATGATAGATCCACTGACAGCTTGCACCGTGTGCCTGGAAAAGTCACAGACATTCAATGCCAGTCCATGAAGGCAGCTAGAAGGGAAGCTGCACCCTGCAAAGCCACAGGGGCAGAGCTGCTGAAGACCATAGGAACCCACCTCTTGCATTAGCATGACCTAAATATGAGACATGGAGTCAAAGGAGATCATTTTGGAGGTTTGAGATTTGACTGCCCTGCTGGATTTTGGACTTCCATTGGGCCTGTAGCCCCTTTGTTTTGGCTAATTTCTCCCATTTGGAATGGCTATATTTACCCAATACCTGTACCCCCATTGTATCTAGGAAGTAACTAACTTGCTTTTGATTTTACAGGCTCATAGGTGGAAGAGACTTGCTCTGTCTCAGATGAGACTTTGGACTGTGGACTTTTGAGTTAATGCTGAAATGAGTTGATACTTTGGGGGACTGTTGGAAAGGCATGATTGGTTTTGAAATATGAAGATATGAGATTTGGGAGGGGCTGGGGCAGAATGGTATGGTTTGGCTTTGTGTCCCCACCCAAATTTCATCTTGTAGCTCCCATATTTGCCACATGTTGTGGGAGGGACCAGGTGGGAGATGATAGAATCATGGGGGCAGGTCTTTCTCATGCTGTTCTCATGATAGTGAATAGGTCGTACAAGATCTGGTGGTTTTAAAAATGGGTGTTTCTCTGCACAAGCTCTCTCTTTGCTTGCTGCCATCTATGTAAGACATGACTTGCTCCTTCTTGCCTTCCACCATTATTATGAGGCTTCTCCAGCCACATGGAACTGCAAGTCAAATTAAACCTCTTTCTTTTGTAAATTTCCCAGTCTTGGGTATGTCTTTATCAGCAGCGTGAAAATTGACTAATACAGTGATTAAGGAATAAAATATTAGAAGAAAAGATAAAGCAGGAAATGTGGTGCAGGTCATTTAGGGCCTTGAAGTTCATGGCAAGAAGTCTGGATTTTATTTTCAGTGCATTGGGAAGCCATTTGAAGGGAATTGAGCAGGGGGCTCATATAGATCTTGTTTTCAGTGGAAAGATTATTGTGTCAGTTCCATGAATTGCAGATGGTGCAAGGTAGGGAGAAAATCGCAGCTATTGTAAGTCTGGATGAGAGCTAAGAGCAAACTGGGCCATGGTGGTAGCAAAGGAAAGAGATAGAAGTGGATAGATATGTGATATGTGTTTGGAAAGAACATATGTCAAGTTGAGCTAGTCTCCTCACTGTCTGAGAAACAGACCTACCCATGTTTGTCTCCTTAACTTGTCCTATTTCTTGGCTTGCCCTGTCTCACTTTTAAAGTCCTATATGCAGTCTCTTTTCCTTCATTAAATACTTTCTTGAATATTCTGCTTCTTCTCTTCTGTAAAATTTTTTTGAGACATTATCTCACTCTGTTGACCAAGCTGGAGTGCAGTAGCCTGACCTTGACTCACTGCAGCCTTGATCTCTTGGGCTCAAGTGATCCTATTGCCTCAGCCTCCCAAGTATCTGGGACCACAGGTGCACACCACCATGCCTAGCTAATTTTTTTGTATTTCTTGTAGAGATGGGGTTTTGCCATTTTGCCCAGGCTGGTCTTGAACTCCTGAGCTCAAGCAATCCACTTGCTTTGGCCTCCCAAAGTGCTGGACTAGAAACATGAGCCACTACACCCAGCTTCTTTTCTGAACTTCTAAAGCAAATACTCATTATTCAATTATTTCATTTTTGTCAGTTTTGCTTTTCATATATAGATTGTGAAGCTCCCTGATGGTAAGATTTTATTCTTCATTTCTTTATCTCCATGAGACCTAGCACAGTACTAGGTTGAAAATAAATGGAGATTAAATAACAGATTAATAATACAGCATCTCATAAAAATCAATTAATCAAACAAACACAATATATAAAAAAAAAAAAACTAAAACCTCTCAATAATTGGCCTAGAAAAGTAATAGAACATCAAACATGACCACATTGAGCAAACTGATTTACTGTGATCCATTAATGGAAATGTATTTATCACAAGGTAAGTGAGGTACAAAAAGTTATAATTTTCTAGGACAACTGGATGGAGTCCCTAGGCTCAGCCACAGGTTATCCTTTCATGCTGCTGCAAGCCGTACACTTGACTTGTGGCTGTAGCAACACAGAGAATCTGGAGCCAAAAGCACTGTTACAGTGCTTTCAGTCTTTAGGAAACTCTTTTTAAAATGTTAAGCATTGTTGAGAAAATCTAAGAGAACACTGTGTGACTCTTCAGTGTACCACATGGTGATGTAAACTGCATTGCTCTAAAGAGGGTCAAGGAAAATTACAATTATTCCAAGACTTAAATCTTGTGAAAAGTAGTTAGAAACCAAAAAATTATAGTGCTGAATATTTATGTCTAGGAAGAGATTTTACATGAAGTACTAAATGTATTTTAACAAATGTCACCCAACATATTTGATTGTGTAATTTTCTGAAAGAATTACCTAGTACAGGCATGTTTTATATATATCTTTGTTGATCCATGGACAGGACAAGCTACAGATAATTAAGGGTGAAATTGTATATGTATCATCTACAAAAAAAAAGAAATAAAAACCCCACAGTCTTCAAACTTACCATTAAGACTCCTTTCATCTCATAGCTCACTAGCAAATTGAATTTATAAAGCACCTCTCACACAAAAAGTCAGAGAGCAAAGCACTAAAGCAAAACAAATACCAGTGATTAAGGAAAATTGAAAGCAGCAGTAAAAATATGTTTCTTTAGTCTACTTTTAAATACAGACTGGGAACTGCAAATAATTGGGAGTATATATAAGTGGTAATTTTTTTGTCTTCATGATTGTATGGTATTGAATACAAATGAGAAAAATCGTGGCTGCAAAACTCAGCAATCCTTATGAGATTATTTTAAACATTCACTTAATTAATTTAGTAATACATTTAAATTACTCAAATATTTTGTCATTTCTTAGACTGGCCAGTTTTGATGTGCTTCGTGTTTACTTTTGGTGATTTAAAGAGAAATTATTCAAAATGGTCTTTCCTAACCTGAGGCAGTATCAAAGAAGGGAGGCAAATTTTCTGTAAGTTTCAGGTCTTCATAGCATTAGTGGACCATTTAAATATTCCAGAGAAAGTATTTTATTCTACATTGATCAATATTCAGATAATTTTCCAGGGGATTTGTGACTCTTCAATGGGATAAAACTGAACTGTTGAGAGGAGTCAGTGAAATAAAATACTTGGGCACCGATTTCATGGTGGATGGCTGTTGTCAATCATTGCTTCTTTTAGCATAGCCATTGGCCACTGAGGTACTTCAAAGAATACTCTGGTAGCCAAATATTTGGAGAAAGGAGAGGAAAACAGAAACTTTAGAGTTCCTTTTTATCTGTGAATACATATTTTTTTCCAGCAGAGCTATTAAAGACAATAAAATATTGATTTGGGTAACTAGACATTAGGATTGAAGAAGTTGAGTTTTTAATTTAAAAATTTGGGGGACTGCTTTACTCTCTCCCCCAAGCTCTTCCTACCTCTCTTACTCTTTAACCTGTTTCATTCCCTTTCCCTCCTTTCCCATTCCCTCATTCTTTTGCCAACAACCCCCACCCACCCCCCGTCTTTTTATTTTTATTTTTTTGAGATAGGGTCTCACTCTGTCACCCAGGCTGGACTGGTGCAGGGTGTTCATAGCTCACTGTAATCTCAGCCTCCTGAGCTTAAGCTCCTCACTTTCTGAGTCTCAGTCTCTCAAGCACATGCAACTACAGGCTCACCCCACCATGCCTGGCTAATTAAAAAAAAATTTTTTTTGGTAGAGATGGGGTTACTCAGGCTTGTCTCAAACCCCTGGCCTTGAGTGATCCTCCTTCCTAGGCCTCCCAGAGCCTAGGGATTCAGGTGTGTGCCTGGCCAACACCCTAATTTTAACAATTGTCCTGACTCATGTATCTTTCAAGCTTAAAAGAGAACATGCGCCCGGCGCAGTGGCTCACGCCTGTAATCCCAGCACTGTGGAGGCCAAGGCGGGCGGATTGCCTGAGCTCAGGGATTCGAGAACAGCCTGGGCAACATGGTGAAACCCCATCTCTACTAAAATACAAAAAACTAGCCGGGCGTGGTGGTATGTGCCTGTAATCCCAGCTACTTGGGAAGCTGAGGCAGGAGAATTGCTTGAACCTGGGAGATGGAGGTTGCAGTGAGCTCAGATCACAAAGGAAAAGAAGGAAGTGCTTGTTGTTATGAGGGTGAGAGGGTAGCATTTGTTAAACTTGGCTAGAGCCAGTGCAAATAGAATTTGGGAAGGTCTGTGATTTTTTCAAAGCTATTTACAAGCTACTACTCCTCAGCATGTAACTCAAAGGACATTTTGAGTATTAATAAGATTATTTCATGAACTGCTTTGATTTTGTTCACTGAAATGTACCTTATAAATTATGATTTTACGATTGAAGAATATAGGTAGATTTATATTTTTTCCTCTCTCTTTTCAGAATTATGTTGAATTTCTCAATCAGGTAGATTTCTAAATGTGATGATAATTGCTATAAAATTGTCAAAAAGTTCCAAAGCAGTCTGAAACACAGTAGTGGGTTCAATCAATGGTTAGTTTCATTTCTTTTCAAAGGCATCACTAGACTTTCCTTATGGCTCTGGAATTGTTCTCAAACTTTGATTGATCTTCTGAATCACCTGAAGTACTTGATACGGTAGGAATATTTGTGTCCCCTCAAATTTCATATGTTGAAATCGTAACTTGGTATTAGGTGTTATATACCTCCTGTAACAGTGGTATTAGGGAGCGGTGTATTTGGGAGGTGGGGCTTTTGATCATAGAGGTGGCGACCTTCTGAATGGGATTAGTTCCCTTGTAAAAGAGACCTCCTAGAGCTCCTTTGCCGCTTCCACTATGTGAAGACACAGTAAGAAGCCAGCAGTCTTCCAGCCAGGAAGGCAACACTCACCAGAACCCTGATCTCAGAATTCTGGCCTCCAGAGCTGTGAAAAATAAATTTCTATTGTTTATAAGCCAGCCAATCTATGCTGATTTGTTATTGCAGCCTGAATAGAGTAAGACAGTACTTGTTTAAAATATGCATTTCCCACCTGTCCTCCCAGGAAATTCTGATCCAGGAGGTTCGAGGTGGGACCTGGGAAACATTTTCAACAAGGCTCTCAAGTGATAATTAAAATCAGCAACACTGCGTTACAACAGTGGTTCTCAACTCTACTTGGGCAGCTTAAAAAAAATCCTGGTCCCTGGGTCCTGCCTCTAACCAATGTAGTCAGAATCTTTGGTGGCAGGACCCAGGCATTTGTACTTTTTAAAAAAGAATCCTCAGGTGGCTTTAATGTGCACCTAGGATTAACAATCATTGTTCTCAGTGTTCTTGTGAATATTAAAATAGATTCTGGAAAAATGCTGTGGGATCATATATTTTTACCTCTAGTGCTTCTCTAAGATAAAATATATTTAATTTGAGGAAGTGTTAAAATCAGAATATTTCAGTTTGAGACAGATACCACATAGAGTCAATTTGAGTACCAGATAGTCAACATTTCTGGGGTGAAATAAGTCAGTCTCCAGACTTTTTTCAAGAACTTTACCAATATTCTACTTGGGCTTTTAATCATGTATATAATTCACCCTAGTAACCCCTTAGCAACAGACTGTGATATGCAGATAGGATGCAAATTATCAGGTGAAGAAAGTAGAGAAACGCAGAAGCAAGATTTGAGGTTAATTGTGGTAGAATTTAAAACTGTGGCCAGGAACAGACTTCATTATTCTCCTTCTTTTTGCTTCCAGAAAAGAATCTGCACAGGTGTATTTACCTAGGTGATCTCCAGTCTGGCTATTCTTAATTGGCCATCTCAGCTTTTGGAATATGTGGAAAGCCAGGTTCTGATCTGGATAATGGCACAAGGATGTTGGCAGATTATTATGTCTCTTGATTTCAGGGAGTTTAGCTTTATTTTTGCAGTGAGGTGCATTAGTTGAGGAAGATCCAGTACCAGATGGTAATGTTGGCTGGGAGTGGTTTTCTCACCTATATTTGGCAGCTTTACTCGGAAGTGGTGTTTTCAGTGCCTGAGACTTCCAGTCTATGCTACTTAACATGCTCACTGGGAAGCTTTAGGTGGTACAGAAGCAATGACACATCTCATTAAAGGTCCTGTAACTATGAACATCTGACATCTGTGCTGCAAATAGAACTGAATGCAGCCTTCAAGTAGTTACAGATTCAAGGGGTATGTTGTTTTCTAAAGGCACGGCTGAAATTCATTATATTTACCAGGCTAATTTCTAGAGGCATTGACTGGAAGACATAGATTATGCATTAATAAACTGCTCCTTTCCAAGATGACCTCCTCCTAAATGGGTCCCCTCTTTCCTAGCATTTAGACAATGGTTTCAGCTGATGGCTTATCCATGATTTAGCAATAATCATAACAATAGTGATCATAATTTGAATACCTAGAATATGCTAGGATACTTTATGTATAAGTGATACAATAGCTTTCCAAGATATTCCCACTTGGTGGATGAGGAGCCTGGGGCTCTGAGGAATTAAGGAACTTGCCAAAGACCACAAAACTCCTAAGTGATAGAGCCAGGATTCTGCCAGCTATCTGGTTGCCCAGTGGAGTCTCTGTCCATCTTGTCACCAGCCCCTGCACTGTGTACAGGAATGGAATCAGCATTCGTTGCTATAAACTACAGTAAGGTAAGTGAACATTCATAAAAGTTGGCCTATAGTTTAGTATTTAAACTGGAAAAATAAAAAATGGTAAAACAACCAGATTCAGCCTTCAAGGAGCTTATCATCCAGTTATTTTATCACATTAAAGAATAACACCCTGATTCTTTATACACATTTCTGGATGCTTTAACTTTAAATTTTTAAAATACTGAGCTATTTAGTGACATTGGAAAATAATTTTTAAAAATCTAAATGTGCTCATCCTCAATTTGGCCTGGTTCCTTACAGCTGCAGAAATTCATTTTCTCCCCATTCCCCATCCCCCTTCCTGAAGCCCTAAAGCACGGACCCAGTGGGAGTCCCCTCTGTTTCCCAAAGGAAATATTTCATTCATATAATGTCTCCTTTGTAATCAACACTGAGAAATGTCACTTTGATTAAACACAACTCTGAATGACTAAGACCACAGTACAATAAATTCTCCAGAGCTATCTTTCAGAACAACTGATTGCTTTCCAGTCTTAATCCTCCAGAGTCTTATTTAATCAAAATGATGTTGCTAATTAAGGATTAAAACCTCCGAATAGAATAAAAAAGAAGGATTTTTCTTTCTCCTTTGGGCAGGTCAAGGAGGCAGAATTTCCTGCAAGGAAGTAAAGAGTCCCTTCTACCTTTGGTAAGACTGCATTGTTCTCTGACATTAGGACTTAATCCAAAATAGGGCTGAGTGCTTTACAATATTAATATCATTAGAGAAAGAAAAAAGGGGAGCAAGAGAAAGAGAAAGAGAAAAGAGGAACGGCCTCGGAGAGCTACATATGCCTATACATATACATATAGACACTATTTACTCTAAAAATGGACAATGTAGCTCACATCTGTTTGACATCCACTGATAGATAACAACAATAACAAAGAAGTTTTATACTAAATGCTTAACTACCCTCCCTTAAGATCCATATATTAATTTTTTTTCTTGAATTTGTATTTGGTAATATAAATTGTTTCCTTAAAAAACACAAAAACTGACGAACTCCATAAGAACTCATTGGGAGAGGCAAAGATTCACAGGAAGGCTGTTTGATTTTCATGGAATATAAACTCTTTTAGGTGTTGGGAGCGAACTGGGTGAGAAGCAGAGATGCTGGGTGATGTTTTAACAAATTGTTAAATACTTCTTTCATCTTTGCATCTTCTCTCTGCATTGGCCTAGAAATTTATAATTTCTCCCAAATTAGTCTACTACAATACAGACATGCTAACAGCTACCTTTTTTTGATCACTTACTATGTGCCAAGTTCTTTGCCAGCAATACACATGATGTTACCTCTAATAAAACTGGAGAAGAGGTATTATCCCCCTTCAGAAATGAATAAACTGAAGTAGAGAATACATGACTAGGTCAAGGTCAGTCAGCTTGTGTTAAGCAGAGTCCAGACTTCCACCCAGGTCTCTTTGGTTCCAAAGCCACCTTCTATTCTGCAGGACAAGGCACTTCAAATCTTTTTACCTGGAGGATAAATGTATCCGCATGTGTTGGGAAGGTGCTGGTAAGCTGTACTAGTCTGCATGAGACTTAGAAGCTCCTGTGATTACTGACTGAATCATCATCACAGATTCATTCCATCGTCACTTAGCCCAATTCATCACAAAGACTGAACAACTACTACCCAAATGGAATCAGAAAGTAAACAGTGAGGACGGTCATAAGCCTCTTTTGTCTCCTAGCCAGTGCTACTTACCAGTTAAAAAAAGACATTGTTTTTTGTGATCCATACTCCTGAAGGCCAAAAGCACCCAGTGGACAGACGATGGCTCTTATGCCTCCGATGCCAAGGCAAATGGTCAACAGTGCTACGTAAAACAGCCTGTGCTGCTCTGTTTTTGGTATGTTGTTAACTGCATGGTCAGTGCCCAGATAGAAATCTTCCAAGGGAAAAGCCACCACAGATAACAAAGCAGTGCCTGTAAGTGGAGAAAAAAAAGAATAAATGTAACATAGAACCATTGGATCACCAAATCACATAATAAACAGGGTTTTTCCTCTGACAGTGGCATCATTTTGTGATTGTCTTATCCAAACGTTTATGCTAGTCATTGCAATTTCAGGGATAGCCTGATGTTTTCTAATTGTAAGAATTTCCTTCAATATGTGTCTTAACTAATCCAGAGTTTTAGGTTATTTTTCTTCCTCAAGCTTGAACTGTATTTTCTCCCAGAATGTATAAGCAAATCGTGTTTATTTTGCCAAAATTAAAATAACTCAGAAAAGCATTGTATACAAAATGAAGCTGTTAGTATTCCCACCCCCAGAGAAAACCACTGTTAATAAAGGTTATTTGTTCCTAATCAATCGAGTGACAGAAAACACCATGATCTCAGACATCTCGGAAGCCTATTACATAAAAGCTTTTAAGAAGAACATTATTATCGTTAAAGAGAACACAGTCTTTTTTTTTTTCTTTCCTACTTCTCTTTCTCCTTGTAATGTCTTTCTTATTTATCTTACTTCTCACACAGCTGGATGGAGCCTTCTTTGCCACGTACCGGGGTGAGAAGGCTGGGGACAGAGGAGTGTGAGCTGGAAGGAGAGGGGACATAAAGTGACAAAATAAGGTTGAGTATCCTTCCCTCTTCCACCTTGCGGGGACCACATTTGATGTCTTTCCTTGTCTAATAAAAATTACGATACAATTCCATGCTTTTGCTAAGCTCTTTGTATTTTACAAAGCATGCTCATGAACTATATGTTTCATCTTGAAAAAACTTTGTGATGTGAGTGGATAGATTTTGTTATTTATTTTTTTAAAGAAACAGGTTCAGTGAGGTTAAGTGGTTTGCCCAATGTTATAAAGTAACCCAGTTGTAATCTCCCTCTTCTTGGACCTCCTACCATCAAGTAGTCAAATACTTTTTTTTTTTTGGAAATAGCATTTCCCCCCCATCAGATAACAAAAGTAATACGTTCTTATTTCAGAAAATTTGAAAAATAGAGGAAAGCACTCAGAATAATACAAAAGGCCCATAATCTCATGACTCAGAGATCATCTTTACTTTTATAAAATAAAATATTTTATAAATTTTATATTTTACTTAAAAATATTTTACTTAAATATATATAAATATATTTTACTTAAATTGAGATTACACTGTTGATTTTTTAATGTAACCAAATAATATGAACAATTTTTAAAATACCTTTATACTTTTCCAACATGATTTCTAGTGATGATGTGATATTCTAATCATAATGTATTTTAAAAGACCTTTTCAGTTATTTTAAATGAATACCATAAAATACCCTGACACATAATTTTTGTGCACATCTTTATTAGCCTAAGTTCTCAGTCAAAGGCATTCCTATTTTTATTGCTTCTTAATACCACTGGCAAATGTTCTTTAACAATGCAACAAGTTAATCTCCTACCATCATTGTATGAGAAGACCTTCATTCATGGTAGTTAGCGTCATTAATTTTTTTGATGATTCGATTAGTGAAAAATGACTCCTCCGTGTTCGTTTTGCTCTTCATTTTATCAATTTGGCATTAGTGTTATTTGGTATAAATTTTTATAGAGTTATTTCATGTGGTTTGTTTTCTCAATTAGATTATAAATTCTTTATAGATAAAAATTTGGTCTAATGCGTCCATCTCCCCTACAGAGGCTTTCACAATGTAAAGAATATATGCACTGAAGAGCTATTTGGCAACAGATTCATTTACCGTGAGGTGAGCCCTTTAAATTATTGAGTTTGAAATGTTCCCTTTTAAGGTTAGCCGGATATGAAACTAACTTCTCTCTTTCTACCACTCACTCAGTCTTCTCTTCTGTAGGTGTGACGTGAGGCCTGGCTAGACAAAGGGATGTCCAAAGAGGACAGACAGGGCAACTATTTCATGCAGCAACTATTTACTTAGGAACAAGGCACTTTTAGTTTGAATGGTATATTTGTGTAATTTAGAAAGGCACTTTCCTTCTGTCTTTTGAGAAAATGTCATAATAGGCTGATTGTATTAAATCAAAACTTTATTTCTATCTGTTGTAAAATGAGGCAGCAAAAAGACAAATCTATGACATATATGAAGAAAAGTCTCCTCTGTGATGTGTGCAATTGTGTATCTCATCATCAGTATGCCCGCAGGTAGTAGCTCTGTAGAAGCACCATGATGTGTCATACCCCCTGCTAGGTGGTGGGGGTCCACTGGCTCGTCTGTCCAGGAACTGCTGAGTCCATCAGAGAAGTCAGCCATGCAGGTGGACTATTATGTTATAAAGTGATGGATGCAATCGTATAAGTATTATGTGGGTGTGGTTAAACACAGAGAAGCTAGCAACAAACACTATTTGGTTCTTGAAACAATAGCAGGAGTTTTCCAATCATGGATAAGGGATGGAAAGATAAGGGAAGGTGACAATTTCAGGAAGAGAGAAGAGCATGTATAAGATTAGAAAACTAGGGAAGGAGGCCAGGAGAAATTAGCAAGGTTGGGGTTGCATGTTGAATAAGAAATCTAGAGAGGTGAACTTGGTAAGGTTCTTGTATGCTAAATTAATAAATTTGGATTTGATTTTTTAGATAATAGAGCCAATATAGAGATTTATTTGTTCAGGAAGTCAGTGTTGTTGGTAGAATGGAGTATGAACTAGAGACTGATTGACAACTGGCAGCCAAGTAAGTAGGCCATTGGAATGGTCAAAAAGAAGAAAGCTGCATTTTTTTCAGCCAGGGTTGTAGCAATTCAGACAGGAGAGACTATTTTTATATAACCTCTAATATTTAGTGACTGGTTGGAATTTGATGGCAGCTGTAAGCAGAGGGCAACAAAGAAATAACTTTTAGTAAAAAAATGAATGGATGTAGAGTTGACTTAAGTCTTTTGTTTGCCAAATTCAAACTTGGTATTTCCATCCTGTCTGATGACTGACCTCAGAATCTAGACTGATAGAAATTACCATGTTAAACAAGAAGTCAGCAAATGCTACTGGTGTGGCCTGTTACCAAGGTAAGCAGAGTAAATTAGTCTTGGATTTGCTTAAATGTCTTCTTATCAGAAAACTTTTTCTTGGTACCAAGTGGCAGCCTCATCACTACTCATTCCATCCTGTCCCCATACCCAGCTTTATTTTTCATCCTAACTCATTGCCACATGACATCACATCTATTTCCTCATTTATTTTCTCTCTCCCTGCACCAAAAAGTCAACTTTAGCAGGAACACATGACTTTCTTCTCTATTGCATTTCCAGACCTGGAATAATGTCTGGTACAGAGTAGTCAATAAGAAATATTTGTTGAATGTTGAGTGATTATTTGTCATGCAGTGCCTTAGTTTTTATTCCACAGAACTTCAGCTGCGGACTTTCCAGGTTTGACTTACACTGCAATAGATTCTCTGAATGGTAATTTACCACCTGCATGAGATTGTGTGATATGTTGAGTACCTGATATCTATCCATCTCTTTCTCATCTGTCCTCCTACCAACACTCATTTCGGCTGCACCTCTCATTATTGGTGAACAGCATGCTATATTCCCAAGTTGCTCAGATCAGAAACTTGGAGCTAATTTTTGACCCCCATCACATTTGTACCTTTATTTAGTTGCCAAGTTTTTATAGCTTTTCACTTGTTCTCTCCTGAATTGGCACTTTATTGCTTAAACCATCATCCTGAGATTTTCTGATCTCTGTCTATTTAATCTCTCACTGTGGTTGACCATCCTGTATTGCAGAATAGCATTTCTCAGATGTTGTTTTCATGATATTTTCAGAGACTTCTTGTTGTTTAAGAAGAATAACTTGAACTTTTCAGTCTAAAATTCTAGTCTGTTCTTCAAATTGCTCTCTATTCCTTATTAAACTAACTTGATATTTTCCCAGCATTTCTCGCAATCGGTCCCAAACCTTTGCAGATACATATTAATATATATGTAAAGATGCGCACTGTGGTGTCTAATTTACTCATTTTTAAAGCAAATAATCATAATTAATAATACAGAAATCATACCATCATATGCAATCTTAATTAGTATATGACTAATTAAAAGACCACCTTTGGATAAAAACATTTCTCAATTATTTTACATGAACTTCAAAAACCTTTTTTTAGCACATTTCATCTTGGTTGTGAAGCAAATAAATTTCACATTTCTGAGGGAATTTGTCATGAATTTGGACTTGAGGTAAAAAGGTTTTGGGAAGGGAGGGCATTCTAAGGAGTAGGATATATATGTAAAGGAGTAATTACTGTAAAATATAAGTGCAATGATATAGGCATCAAAGCATTCTCTAACACACGCACACACACACACAGACTTACTAGCATTCTTCAAATAGTACAGAGAATGAAATACATTGAAACCACATTCTTACTTCATTTATCACATTTTGTGCTAAGAGCAGAGTGAAAATAATATAAACTAAAAATTCTAACAAAAATCTACTCAATTAAGTCACAAAACATTCCAGTCAGCAGAGGACACTCACCTAGAAAATGTAGAAACAAGCAAATATACACCAGTTTGTTTCTTCCTAAATAGACATCAGTGAGCCATCCAACAAACACAGGGGTAAGTATTGACGTTCCAATAAAACACAAGTTTAAGATGGCTGCCTGGCAATTGTGATAGCCAAGCTTGATAGTGCAAAAGGGGATCATGTTGCAGACGACTTCAAAGAACGTGAACCTCTCACACAGCTCCACCAGAAGCAAGCAGATTCCAACCTGAATTTTTTTCACAGAGTATGAGGAACAGAAATCGCCAATACGTCTTACAGTTTTCTCCTTCTCAAAGCTGTGATGTAAGCGTAATTTCTCATCAGTTATGATAAAGTCTGTAACAGACATGACTACCCTCCTTGAACACAACTTATATTAGTGATTTGAACTTCGTGATATTTTGAGCCCTATCCCTCCGATGAAAAAATAAGTAAGAAGGTTGCTTTGAATTTCACATCTCCACGCTAGAATTTCATAAGGTTTGTTTTTTGCACATGAACGTTTTTCATTTTGATGATCCAAGAGCACAGGAGAGGAGACATGAGTATTTAAACGTTCACGGTAGCTCAGTGTAGCCAAATCTGATTTGTTTGCTTAATTACTTAGCGGCTAAATTAGGATCGTCCTCCAAAATTATATTGAATTACATGAATCCAGTTGCAAACATGTGGAAACTCATCTGCCTCATACTGATAAAGGTTTAAATATTGAGGCAGAAGAAGCAGTTTTTCAGGAGAATTTGAGCACTAGATCAAGAAATAATTTGAGTCTAATAATTTCTGATACTTTAATTAAACAAGCCAGAACAGTACCAAGAGATAAAGCACAAAAGGAAATCTGTTTTGAGGGCGCACGATATCTTATCATTATTACATTTCTTGTTATTTTTGGTTGGAATTCTGATAAGAAACTTAATTAGGTAACAAAAGTGCTAGTACATTTAGGTAACAAGCAGAGTTTACAAGAAAGTAATTTAAGTGCACTAATGAAAGGAGAAAATATTAAACAAAACCCCGCTTCCTTTAAGTTGACCCCATGCTTGTAGAACAGCCTCTCAGAGGAAATCAGAATCAAAAGGTGCTATTTGACTCCTTTATTATTAATCAGTACTCAGGGATACAGCAACCAGCCTACGCAGGCTTTGGAGAATATTGGATCTGGTATCACCCTGACCCTCCAACTGGGTGAATGAGTGTTAGCATTCTATTTTGGAAAGCAGGAGGGCCAATTAAGCTAAAAAAGCAGCAGTGAAGGAGAACACCTTAACATTTAGTGGTTTAGCTGCAAGGACATACAAAGACAAGGGACCAGAATTATTGGGTCAAAGTCGTAATAATTCAACACTTGAGTATAGGAATGTTATTTTCATGCTGGAGTCAAAACCTAAAGACCAATAGGGACTTTTGACTCTGGTTCTCATCTTTTGGTTCTGAGAGACTGGGAGCAAAATACTCTCTTTTGACCCCTCCTAATAGCCTCATAGTAATGGTAGCTATTTGTCTCTGCTCAGCATTGCTACCTTGGTAACAATGCCCCAAATTTCCTTTGTGTGAATTGATCATGCAATTTATGATCCAAACTTGGACAAAACAGTTTTGTGCAGGTGAAAAGTGATGCTATTTATAGTTACTCCTAAAACAGTTATAAACTGGGACTGTCCAGGGCAACACTCTGACATGTGTTCACCTTCCTTTGGAGAATGACTCCTATCTATTACCTGAGATCGTGGTGGGACTGTTGATCAGGATATCCCTTTTCTTCTGGCCAAGGGGGTCAACACACGATCTAAGATAGTCCTTTTACTTTTCTCCTGTGGAATTTTAATCCTGAGCGGAATGACTCCAGAGTGGGCATGGTGGCAGCTGAGTTATTCAGATGGCAGTATATTAGTCTGTTTTCACGCTGCTAATAAAGACATATCCAAGATTGGGTAATTATAAAGGAAAGAGGTTTAATGGACTCACTGTTCCACATGGCTGAGGTGGCCTCACAATCATGAGGGAAGGCAAAAGGCATATCTTACATGGCAGCAGGCAAGAGAGAAAAATCACAGCCAAGCAAAAAGGGAAACCGCTTATAAAACCGTCAGCTCCTGTAAGACTTATTCACTACCATGCGAACAGTATGGGGGAAACTGCCTCCATGATTAAAATACCTCCCACCAGGCCCCTCCCACAATACTTGGGAATTATGGGAGTTACAATTCAAGATGAGACTTTGGTGGGGACACAGTCACATCATATCAGCAGTACCCAAAAGGGACTGCCCGTGAGGCCCTGATGGAGAACTCAGCACCTCTATGGTTCTTTTTCTTCTGGAAGCATGGTTACTTCTTCCTTCTGTAGAAGGCTCGAAGGATTCCCATTAATTTTGGTTTGATTTAGTTAGGCCTATTTGGCTTCTGTGGCTTACAAAGAACCCTAAATGATACTTTACTTTTTTGTTTACCCCTAGATGCAAGGGCAAGCTGTTCTCTAGCCACTGACTGATTTCTTTAGCCCCTGACAAAGGGCTCCTTCCTAAGCAGAGTAGCACTGCTGTTTCCCACGGCCTGATGATGATCCCATCTGAATTGTTTGGCTCCTCTCTGTCTACTGGCTCAAGATCAGGCTCCAGGTGGTGGTAACCTGTGGTCTGGGGACACTTGAGTCAGTAAGAGCAACAGCATTTGCCTTCTTTGGAGGGGATATTTGGTAAACCTCCAAGAGAGCCACCTACTCAGAAATAAAGTTTATTTTAATTATCTGTAAGGGGGAAAAATCTGACTTCAATAGGGACATAATAGTGTGCAAATAGGATATTCATTTAAGTGGGAGTTAGGAGAACTAAGTTATACTCCTGCCCCTTTATCACTTAAGGCAAATTTCTTCCTGTCTGTGAGCCTATTACATTAACTGCAAAATACAAACAGTAAAGTCTGTCTCAGAAGATCATTTCTGAGGCTTGGTATAAAAAAGGGCTTATGAAATGTCAAGAATTGCACATGGAAATGCCTTTGTTATTACTTGCTTCTATATTCCTGCATTTTCTAGCTACTCTAAGCAATGAGCCATAAAGAAATGTCATGCAACCACTTCCAAATTCCAGTTTGCACAAGAGACAGACGTTAGAAGGCCTGGATTATGCGGAATAGAGTTGAAGCAATGGGAAACCACCCCCTTTTTATTTGTCACATCCCTACTAGTTCTCAATACAAAGTTCAGAGTGAGCTCAAAGGACAAGTAGTAATTCCACTTGAGAATAATACTTGGCAGGGAATATTGAATGTCATCGTCTTTATCAATAAACTTGGGCCCTTGAGTAAGACTTATGCATACTTTAGTTTTATGCAACCCCCTCCCCCATTCCAACCCAGGCTTGTTCTCTGTCCCTGCTTCTTCTCTCTGGTATAAAGTAATATTTTTCTCCTTTACAGAGGTAATGTATGTAATGTAAATTGGATACAATTTGGAAAATATCTAAAAATAGAAGAAAAACCATGGAAGTTTTTGGAGCATTTTGTTGGATGTTTTCTCCCCATGGCTGGTTTTCTTTATTAGTAGATTTAAAATATTTAAATTGTATAATTGTGTACAATTATTGTACAATACATTTTCTACCCCGTTTGTAGGTACTGTTAAAAAGCATTTTAACATGCCATTATGAACTCTTTGTAAACATAGTTTTTATGGTTACATTAATGGAGACATAGTTTGCTTAACTATTCTTCCATCGTTCGTTAGTTATATTTGTTTCAGATCAGTTATAAGCCAGCCTTTGTCAAACATTTGACCATGAACCCACAGTTGAAAGAAAAAAAAACCTTTATAAATAGTGCTGAAATGAATATTTGTGCATAAAGCTTTCCCCATTCCCTGATTATATCCCTAGGCTGATTTTTCCGAAGCAATATCACTGGCTAAAAGTATGAGAAAGTGTTTCAGTTTCTTGATATATAAAGCAAAATTACAATATAAACTTCAGAAATTTTTTAAAATTGGAAAGCCTATATTGTTTTTGGAAGGCAAAGACTATACTTATCACTAGAATCCTTCATTGGAAAGACAAAGTCACAGATGAAACAGAGGGAGTAATAATGTTGACCATACTTGTACGTGTTGGCAAATGCATCTTATCTAATAGAGAAAATGAGTCAGATGCTCATTTCATGAATTGATGACACCCATGTTTTTTTCTGAGGACCCAGAGCATGTGTAAATCAGATCTTGTGAGGATTGTTTAGGGGACACACTAGGAATGCAAACCCTGCTTCTAAGGAGGCTATTTTTAAATATTCAGGATTAGAAAGAATCTCTATAAGCTACCTCCAATATGATGATAAGTTCTGAGAAAATGGTGGTGCCTTTTAAAATGTTTGTACAGTGGGTTGCTGCAATGCTTTTCCATTTGTGTATGTATTTTCAGAGTAACTTTTCATAGGTCTTCTAAACAGTAGGGAAGAGCTTTTCTAGCTCAATAATTCTCTGTAAATGGTATACACAAAGGTCATTTGAAGATATTTATTCTTTTAGGCCTATCGATTTCATTTAATTCCATTGACTATGAGGTTTGGTACCTGGTTTGAAAGCATTGTCAAGAACATGAGGATTGGATTCCCTATAATTTAATTGTTAAAAATGGCACATCAAAGACTTGGAGTGAAATTTTTGCTTCATTGTTCAAGGTGTAAAGCAGAAATGAAAAGATAACATATTGGGCTTTACTTTTTGCTTTGTAAAAAAAGACATTCTCTGTGTAAACCTCTACTCTTCCATTATAAAGAGGCTCTGGCAGTTGTATGATATCTATACCTTGATGCTTCTGTCCAGTGTGAAAAAGAATTACTTTAGCCCTGATATGGTTTGGCTCTTTGTTCCCATCCAAATTTTATGTTGAATTGTAATCCCCAGTGCTTGGGGAGGGACCTGCTGGGAGGCGATTGGATCAAGGAGGTGGTTTTCCCGTGCCTTTCTTGTGACAGTGTGTGAGTTCCTATGAGATCTGATGCTTTAAAAGTGTGTGGCACTTCCCCCTTCTCTCTCTCTCTCTCTCCTCCTCTGTGATGGGAAGATGTGCTTGCTTCCCCTTCACCTTCTGCCATGATTGTAAGTTTCCTGAGGCCTCCTACTCATGCTTCCTGTTAAGCCTGCAGACCTGTGGGTCAATTAAATCTCTTTTCTCCATAAATTACCCGGTCTCAGGTAGTTTTTTGTAGCAGTGTGAAAATGGACTAATGCAAGCCCCTAGCAGAAAATAACTCATATAGTCCCAAGAATATATAAGATATTCAATTCTTCTCTAATATACTGTGTTTTTTCCTTTTTCTTGGGATAACTAAGAATGAAGGGTATTTTTCTCCTGTTTTTCCCTCCACACTATGCAATGACCATTACAAACCTTGCTATTTTGTTGAATTCTACATGCAAGATAAATCAGTATAAAGTGAGTAAAGTGGGAATGAGTCATTACATGGACACCATAATGGTTAATTTTATGTATCAACTTGGCTGGGCAATAGGCCCCAGGTATTTGATCAAATATTATTCTGGATGATTCTGTGTGTTTTTGGATGAAATTTGCATTTAAGTGAGTGGATTTTGAGTAAAGTAGATTACCTCATCTAATTGATTGAAGGCCGGAATAGAACAAGAGGCTGAGGCTGACCATACCCCCGCTTTCAGCAAGAGGGAGTTATCCAGCAGACTGCGAACTTCCTTTGCAACATCGGTTCTACCTGGTTTCCTAGCAGACTGCCTTTGGACTCAACTGCCATTCTTCCCTGAATCTCCATGCTATCACACTCACGTCAGATTTTGGACTTGCCAAGCCTCCACAATCACATGAGCCAATTCCTTAAAATCCATTGATATATACGTACAAGCATATTCTATTGGTTGTTTCTCTGGAGAACACGAATATTGACACTGTTCATACCATCCCTATTGTTCATTCTGTTCATTCTTTCTTTTTTTCCCCTATTTGATCATAAAGGAAAAAGAAGGATTTAGATACAACACCGGTAGCTTTCATATTGATGTGTGGAACTGAGACCTCTTCTTGAGTTTTTGGTAGATGGGTACACACTTCCATCTAGCTTTCTAATTGAAAATTCAAACTCATCATGTTCCAAGCTTAACTCATCTTCTTGCCAGATTCTACTCCTCTTTTTCCTTCTCTTAATGGTTCATGGCCTCACCACTTATCCGCATATTCAAGGTAAAAATACTGAGATGTCCTAGGCTCTTTCTTCACTTCTTTACCTATTATATTTACCTTTTTCAGGAAAATATTTATTGGGTCCCTAACATGTGCTAGGCTATTTTATACTTGGTGGTGGTGGGGAGGGGCAGTGCTGTCAATTCAACATTCTTAATATTTTACAAATCCATCCTTTATCTTTGCCTTCTACTCTGCTGTAGTTTGAGTCCTGTAGCATGTCTCCTTTGCACTGCTGCCTCAGGCATTGCTTCCGTCTCTCTCGTACCTTAGTCACTTGTACATCATTTTCATCAGTTTGCCCTAGCTGCCTACTTCTTGTCCCTCTGACTTGCCTGATTTTTGCCATATGTTATATTGTTTTCTTTTTTTTGACTTATTTCCTATTATTTTCTTAATAGTGTTATTTAAAATGGCTTACTTTGAAAAATCAAGTAATTTTATTTAACAAGGAAACTTTTATTTTCAACTTTTATTTTAGATGCAGGGGACAATCTACAACTTTGCTATCTGGCCATATTGCATGATGCTGAGGTTTGCGGTACAAATGAGCCCATCACCCTGGCAGTGAGCTTAGTACCCAATAGTTTTTCAATACTTGCCTTCTCCCTCCCACTCCCCAGTAGTCCCCAGTTTCTATCATTGCTATCT